GGTCTGGAGAGGTTTTGGGGTTCCTGGTGGGGGTTTTGGGGTCCCTACACTCACCTGGGGGCTCAGGGCCACATAGAGGGTGAAGGGGTCGCCCTTCATGGCCTCAGTGGAGCGGCGAGGCCGGTCCTGGCGTGGGATCACCGTCCCCCCTCGCTGGAACACTGGGATCTGGTGGAGCATGGGGGGGGTCAGCACCCCAAAAACCCCATTAAAAAAACCCAAATCCCCCCAAAAACCCCATTTAAAAAAACCCACATCTCCCCAAACCCTGCCCAAAAAAACCCCAAATCCCCCAGGTCACTCCCAGTGCTTGAGATGATTTTGACCACTATCCCCACCCGCACTGGAACACAAGGATCTGGGGGGATTCAGATTTTTGGAGTCTCCAGGGGGATTTTGGGGTCGCCATGGAAGTTCTGGGGTCTCCAGGGAGGTTTTTGGGGTCCCAAACCCCTCCACACACCCCTTGAGCTCCCCCAAAACAACCCATGGTGCTGAGGGTGACGGGCACCACACTCCCCATGGGGGAAGAGGGAGATCAGGGGAGGATTTTGGGGTGTCCAGGGGGAATTTTGGGGGTTCCAAGGGCAGTTTTAGGGTCTCATGGGGGTTTTGGGGTCCCAGCATCCCCCCAAACCCCTTGAGCCCCCCCAGAAACCCACGGTGCTGAGGGTGACGGGCACATAGAGGGTCTGGGGCGCCCGGTGCTGCTCGTGGGTCTCTTCATTGTACCAGACCTGGGGGTGAAATTTAGGGTTCAGGGGGGTCCTGCGCCCCAAAAAAACCCTAAAAATCACCCCAAAAGGGCTCACTCACCTCTCCTTCCCCAGGCAGGTACACGTTGACCCCGCGGGCGCCCGACTCTGTCACGGGGTGCACCAGGAGCACCCGGTCTGGGGGACAGGGGTCAGCAAGGGGAAACCCCAAAAATGACCCCAAAAGGGATCCTAAAAGGGGTCAAGGACCCCAGAAAGGGAGTCAGGGACTCCCCCTCACCGATCATGTACTGGTCATCCATGGCGAAGGTGTGGGGGTCATCCGGGAATTCCATCCACAGGGGCCTGGGGGGGACAGTGGGGTTTGGGGTCAGGGGGATCTGGGGGCATTTTGGGGGTTTCGGATTAGGGGGATTTGGGGTCAGAGGGTTTGGGGATGTTTTGGGGTCAGGGGGTCTGAGGCCAGGAATTTGGAGTCATCAGGGTTTGGGAGCAGGCGTCTAGGACGGGGCGGTTTGGGGTCAGAGGTTTGGGTTCAGGGGATTTGGGGTTATCCTGGATGGACTGGGGGTTACCCAGGTAGATTTTAGGGATGAATTTGGGGGTTTTGGGGTGGATTTGGGGTTTTTGGGGTGGCACACCTCATGACAGGGATGCCCTGGCAGTGGCAGTGGTACAAGGCCATGTACCACGTCGGGAACAGGGGATTTTGGGGTTATCTTGGGTGGGTTTTTGGGGTGGATTTGGGGTTTTTGGGGCGGCACACCTCATGACGGGGATGCCCTGGCGGTGGCAGTGGTAGAAGGCCGTGTACCATGTTGAGATCAGAGGGGTTTGGGGTTATCTCAGGTAGGATATGCTGTATTTTTGGGGTGGATTTGGGGTTTTTGGGGCGGCACACCTCATGACGGGGATGCCCTGGCGGTGGCAGTGGTAGAAGGCCGTGTACCACGTCGGGAGCAGGGCGTAGCGGCGCCGCAGTGCGGCCCTGACCAGCGCCAGGTGCTCGGGGCTCAGCAGCCACGGCTCGCGCCGCGCCGTGTCCAGGTGGGCGTGGGCGCGGAAGAAGGGCTGGAACGCCCCGGCCTGGTACCAGCGCACCTGCAGCTCCGGGCCCGGGTTCTGGAAGAAGCCGCCCACGTCCGCTGCCAACGGGGCAGGGGTGGCAGTGAGCCCTGGTCCTGAGCCTGCTCCCAGTCCCACATCCCGGTGCTGGCCCTGATCCCAATCCTGGTCTCAATCCTGGTCCTGGCCCTGGCCCTGACCCCAATCCTGGTCTCAATCCTGGTCCTGATCCCAATCCTGCCCCCAGTCCTGATCCCATTCCTAATCCCTGTCCCAGCTCTGATCCTAGATCCTGGACCTGACCCAGATCCCAATCCTGGTCCTGGTCTCAAACCCCTCCTGATCCCAGCCAGCCCTTGTTCCATTCCCATTCCAGATCCCAGCTCCAATCCTATCCATGACCCCATTCCCCATCCCATATCCCAATCCCTGACCCCAATCCCAGCATTCCCAGTACTCCCAGTTTGGCTCACCCCCGCAGAAGGCCAGCCCAGCCAGCCCGAAGCTCAGGCACATGGGGATGGAGATCCGCAGGTGCTCCCAGTCGGCCGTGTTGTCCCCGGTCCAAACCGCACCTGGGGAGTTTGGGGGGGTCAGGGGGGGTTCCCCTCAATCCTGAACCCCCCCACAAATTCCAGGATTTGCCCAAAATCCCAGGATTTCCCCCCAGGCCTCACCGTAGCGCTGGGAGCCGGCGAAGAAGGCGCGGCTGAGCACGAATGGCCGGAGCCGCCCCCCCGAGCGCCGGATCAGCCCCTCGGCCGTGGCCTTGTGCTGGGAACGGGGAAAAGGGGGTCAGCCACCCCAAACCCGACCCCAAAGGGGGCTAAAGGGGTTTGGGGGAAATGAAGCCAGAATTGAGAGGGTTTGGGGGGACCTAAAGGGTGTTTGAGGGGCCTAAAAGGGGTTTGTGGGGGTTTAGAACAGTTTGGGGGCTCCTAAAGGGGTTTGAGGGGTCCTAAATGGGTGTTTGGGGGGGCCTAAAAAGGGTTTGGAGGAGCCTGAAGGGGTTTGGGGGGTCCTGAAGCAGTTTGGGGGCTCTGAAGGGATTTGGGGGGGAAATTAATGGGGAACTGGAGGGGCCCAAAAGGGGTGAGAGAGAGTCCTAAAGAGGTTTGGGGGGCTCTGGGAGGTTGGAATTTTTTTGGGGCTCCTTCAGAAGTTTTGGGGGTGCCCCTGTGAGGATTTAAGGGCATCTCAGAGGATTTGGGGGGGGGGGGGTCTCACCATACAGAGCCCACAGATGCTCCCAGCCCCCAAACTGCCCAAGGTTTAGGGAGGGTCCCTGAGGGGTTTGGGTGGCTCTGGGAGATTGGGATTTTTTTTTGGGTCTCTGTGGGATTTTGGGGTTGTCCCTGTGGGGTTTTGGGGCGGGGGTCTCACCACGTAGAGCCCGTAGATGTTGTGCAGCTCACGGTGCTCCCAGCCCCCAAAGTGCCGCGCGTCCTTGTGCATCGTCACCTCGGGGCCGCTGAACACCGACGGCTCGTTCATGTCATTCCACGTGTACAGCGCCTCCGTGGAGCCCTGGGGGAGCCCCAGATCAGTGGGGGGACCCCAAAAATATGGGGAGGGGGGGGGTTCTGAAACCCTCCCAGGGGATCCCCAAAATCGGGGCGGAAAGCCAAGGTGGGGTCTCCAAAAAGGCACTGAGGGGAAAGGGTGCGTGGGAGAAAGGGGTGAGGAGAGGTTTGTGGGGATTCTCTAAAACTAGAGAGGGCTTCGGGCTCAGGAAAGCCCAAAAAATCAGCAGGGAAACCCCAAAAATATGGGGGGGATTCTGCAAGTGCCAGGCGGTTCCCCAAAATCCCCCCTAAAAGATGGAGGGATTCTCCAAGGGGAGGATGGTGCAAGGGGGAAAAGGGTGAAGAGAGGAATTTGTGAGGGGGGGGGTCTCCAGGGTTTTGGGAATGCTTTGAGGGGAGGCTCTGGAGGGTCTGACAGAAATCTGGGGGGGTTGGACAGAGATTTTGGGGGGTCCCCACCTCATAGTGGTCGAAGGCAAACATGTTCGCCCACCACTCGCGCATCTCGGGGTTCGTGAAGTCGGGGTACGCCGAAGAGCCTGGGGGGCAAGGGGGGGGGGGCTTGTGACCCCCCCCTGGACACCCCAAAACCACCCCAAAACCACCCCAAAATCCCCCCAGCCCCACTGACTGGACCAACAGCAGCCTTTGTAGCCACTGCCATCCTCAGTATTGATGTGGAACTCCCTGAGCACCCTGAGACCACCCCAAAATCCCTTCAGGAGCTCTCAAAACCCCCAGAAAATCCCCTAAAACCCCTCGAGGACCTCCCAGATCCCCCCCCAGCCCCACTGACCGGGCCAGCACCAGCCCTCGTAGTCGTTGCCGTCCTTGGTTTTGACGAAGAGGCCTCGCGCCCGCAGCTCCGTGTGCACCCGGTACCCCCCGTCCACCTTGATGTGCGGGTCCACGATGCTGACCATCTGTGGGGCAGTGGCCAGGGGTGAGTGACCACCGGGCAGTGGCCAGGGAGGCAGTAACCAAGGGAACGTTCCCAATCCCAATCCCACCCCATTCCCAATCCCCTCCCTGCATTTCCAGCCCGCCAAGCGCTCCAGCATGCCCCGGGGGTTGGGGAATTTGGCAGGATTTGGCAGGATCCCATTTCCAATCCTGCTCCCACCCCAATCCCATTCCCAATCCTGCTCCCACCCCAATCCCATCCCAACCCCGTTCCCGTCCCACCCTGCGTTTCCGGGCCGCCAGGCGCTCCAGCATGCCCCGAGGGTTGGGGAATTTGGCAGGGTCCCAGGTGAAGTAGCGCTTGCCGTCGGCGTGCTCGATGTCCAGCCAGAGCACGTCCAGGGGCAGCTCGTGCTCCTCGAATCCCCTCTCCACGGCCTCCACGTCCGCCTCGTCCTGGTAATTCCAGCGGCTCTGGTGGTAGCCCAGGGAGAAGAGCGGGGGCAGCGCCTGTGTGCCTGGGCAAGGGGTGGGAACAAGGGTGAAATCCCCCAAAACAGCCCTAAAAACGGGCATGGGGCACAGCCAGATGGGAGAGATCCCCTAAAATAATCCTAAAAATGGGGGCACGGTGGAAATGCCTTGAAAATAACCCTAAAAGTGGAGATAGGGTGGGAATCCCCTGAAAATAATCCTAAAAATGGGAATGGGGTGGGAATGTTCTGAAAATAACTCTAAAAGTGGGAATAGGGTGGGAATCCCCTGAAAATAACCCTAAAAGTGGGAACAGGGTGAGAATCCCCTGAAAACCCTAAAAGTGGGAATAAGGTGGGAATCCCCTGAAACTCGGAATGGAGCAGAAATTTTCTGCAAATAACTCTAGAAACAGAAACTGGACAACATCAAAGTTGAGAAATCCCCCAAAAACTCCCGTGAGAATGGGAATGGGGTTGAAAGAGAAAAATTCACAGTGTCCCCACTGTCCTGTACCAGTCGGGGCTCTATTCTGGTGTCCCTGTCCCCATCCCAGTGTCCCCAGTGTCCCATACTGGTCAGGGCTCTGTTCTGGTGTCCCTGTCCCCATCCCAGTGTCCCCATCCCAGTGTCCCCAGTGTCCCCAGCGGCCCGTACCGGTCAGTCTCCCGTACTGGGCAGTGACGTCGGCGGGCCGCGGCCCCAGCAGCAGGAAGACGTCGATGACGCCGCTCTCGGACATCCAGCGCACCTCGGTCTGGGGGGTCTCACCTCCCCCCTGCATGTAATCCAGGAGCTTCCCAAAAAGGGTCTGGGGGTGGGACAGGGGGTCAGCAACCCCAAATTCCCACTGAGGTAACCAGACACCCCCGCAAACCACCCCAAAGTCCCCCTCTCGGACTTTCCCAGACGTGTTAGAGCTGATGTCCACCCTGGTCTTGGCCCCTCAGGGACCCCAGATCCCCTAAATCCCCTCCAGAACACCCTAAATCCCCCTCCTGGATCTTTCTAGCAGTGTTGGAGCCCCCCAAGAACCCCAAAACCTACCCAGGACCCCCAAACCTCCCCCAAACCTCCTCAAACCTCCCCCAAACCCCCCGAGACCTCCCTGCTGGACATTCCCAACTGTGTTGGAGCTGATGTCCACTCAGGACCTACAAACCCACCCAGAACCCTCCCTAAACCCCCTCAGACCCCTCTGCCAGACCTTCCCAGCCGTGTTGGAGCCGATGTCCACGCAGGACCCCTCAAACCCACCCAGAACCCTCCCTAAACCCCCTCAGACCCCTCTGCCGGACCTTCCCAGCCATGTTGGAGCCGATGTCCACGCAGGACCCCCAAACCCAGCCAGGACCCCCCAAAACCTCCCCCAAACCTCCCCAGACCCCCCTGCCAGACCTTCCCGGCCGTGTTGGAGCCGATGTCCACCCAGGTCTCGGCGGCGTTGAGCCAGAAGATGCCGAGGCTGAGGCGGGGCCGGTGGGCGAGCAGCAGCGGCACCGAGCCGTACAGAGCCATGGGCGTGAACACCTCGTACTGGAACACGTCCAGGTTGTACAGGCGGTACGGGTCACCCCCCCTGGGGACACGGGGACAGTCAGGGACACTGCCAGGGGGTCAGGGACACACCCCAGGGCTGTACAGGCTCTATGGGTCACCTCCCCCAGGGGATATCTGGGATATGGGGGCAAGCTCAGGGACACCCCCACGATGTCACTGTCACCCCATGAAGCCACCATCACTGCCATCCCCACACAGCATCGCTGTCACTGACACCCTGCTGCTGTCACTGTCACTGTCACCCCAGTGTTCCTGTCCTCCCACGGTGATACCACCCCCTCAGTGCCACCATCCCCCTCATCTCACTCCTGTACCCCCACATCCCCGTGTTGTCCCCATCTCTGTGTCACCCCAATGTCCCCGTGGTGTCCCCAACATCCCTGTGGTGTCCCCAGTGTCCCCGTGGTGTCCCCGCTCACTCGGTGGGGCGCAGCCGCAGGCTCTCGGCGTGCTCGGGGATGCCGTACACGTGCTCGAATCCGGGCAGGGAGAAATCCAACCCCACCGAGGTGGGTCCTGCAGGGAGGGGTTGGGGGGGTCACAGGGGTCCCCCATGCCCCCCTCCCGTGTCCCCAAGTGTCCCCAAGCGTCCCCAGCTGTCCCCACCATAGGGTTTGCTGTCCGTGTGCGTCTTGAACGTCTCCTCCCACGCCCCCGGCTCCTCCTCGGGCTCTGCCGGTGGCTCCGTGGGCTGGGGGGGGACAAATCCTGTCAGGAATGGGGGGACCCCTCCCCCAAAAAAATGGGGGGAGGGTTTACTCTGGGGTGTCCCCCCCCAGTCCTTGTCACCTTGTCGCTCTGGGTGCTGCCAGTGCCGTCCTCGGGCCCCTCCTGCGCCGCCCCCTCCTCGCCCGGGGGGTCCTTGGGGGGGTCCCTGTGGGAATTTGGGGTCCTGGGGTGCCCCAAAGGGGGGGGAAGGGGGGCGACAGGGCCAAGGGGCACCCCCAAGACCCCGAATTTTGGGGGGACCAGGACCCCCCTCAGCTGCTCCTGCCCACTCTGGGTGGGGGTGTGGGGGGGGGGAAAATCTCCTCATTTTTGGGGTGCACAGACCCCCGCCAGCTACACCTGACCCTTCAATTTGGGGGTGCACAGACCCCCCTTAGCTACACCTGACCCTTCAATTTGGGGGTGCACAGACCTCCCTTAGCTACACCTGACCCTTCAATTTGGGTAGGGGGGCACAGACCCCCTCCCTGACTACTCCAGCCCCCTCCCCAATTTTGGGGGCCACAACAACCCCCCCCAAACTGCTCCTACTCCCCGTTTTGGGGGGGATTTGAAGTCCCCCAATTCCTCCTACCCCCTCCCACCGTGCTGAGGGGGGGATCCCTTTTTGAGGGGGGGTCCGGGGGAGTTTGGGGGCGCAGGGACGGCGGCGATTCCATGGATTTACCTACGGAAAAGGCTCTTGATCCTATCCCACACAGAACTAACTTTATCCGCCAGACTGGGGGTGGGGGGCACCAAAACAGAAACACAGAGAGTCAGCGCGGCCCCCCCGGCCCGCGGGGACCCCCTGGGCTGGGGGGGCCACCCCGACCCCCTCTGCACTTCGGGGGACACCCCCCACCCCACCCTGAGCCCTGCGGGGGGATTTGGGGTTTTTTTTTAGGGTTTTTCAAAGGGTTTTTGAGCCTTTTTTGAGGGTTTCTTCCGTACGGTTTTTTTTTTTTTTTAGGATTTTGAAAGTTTTTAAGATTTTTTTTAGGAGCTTTTCTGGGAGTTTTGAAGGTATTTGAGGGTTTTTTAGGAGGATTTTTGGGGGGTTTTGAAGGTTTCTGAGTTTTTTAGGAATTTTTTGGGGGGTTTTGAAGGTTTTTGAGCATTTTTTAAAGGGTTTTTGGGGGTGGTTTTGAAGGGTTTTGAGTATTTTTTTGATTATTTTTGTGGAATTTTGAAGATTTTTGAGGCTTTTTTAGGAATTTTTTGGAAGGTTTTAAAGGTTTTTGAGGATTTTTTGAGGGATTATATTTAGGATTTAGAAGATTTTTGGAAGTTTTTTTTAAGGTCTTTTTGGTGATTTTAAAGGTTTTTTGAGGGCTTTTTGAAAGTTTTTTTTTTTTTTAGGATTTTGAAGATTTTTTGAGAGTGTTTTTTTTGGGGATTTTGAAGGTTTTTGAGCATTTTTTTGAGTTTTTTTCTAGGAATTTGAAGGTTTTCTGAGGGCTATTTTTAGGAGTTTGAAGGTTTTCTGAGGGTTTTTCGGGGTTTGGGGTCACTCACGAGTCCCGGCGGCGCCGCTGGTGCTCGAAGACGAGGAGGCCGCGGGCGTTGACGCTGCAGAGCAGCTCCCGCTGCCGCAGCAGGTCCAGGCGGAACGGCCGCTCCGTCACCAGCAGCCGGTGGCCCCCGGGGCCCAGGGACAGCTCCAGGGTCCCCTCGTCACGGCCTGTCACCTCCAGCCTGGGCACAGTGGTGTTTGTCACCATCCCTGGGCTTTGTCACCACCCCAGGGCACCCCGGGCTTTGTCACCACCCCAGGGCTTTGTCACCATCCCAGGGCTTTGTCACCACCCCAGGGCACTCCAGGCTTTGTCACCATCCCAGGGCACCCCGGGCTTTGTCACCACCCCAGGGCTTTGTCACCATCCCAGGGCTTTGTCACCATCCCAGGGCACCCCAGAGAACCACGACTGCCACCCCGGGGCAGCTCTGGGGTGTCCTGGTCACGGCCTGGGGACAGCGGCCATCAGGGGTGGCAGTGTCCCCTGTCCCTCAGGGGGTGGCTCTGACCTCCTCCTGTGTCCCCATGTGTCCCCATGTCCCCTCTGCTCTCGGCAGGTGGCTCCCCCAGCAGCTATTGGGGATGGGTGGCAGTGTCCCCATGTGTCCCCATGTCCCCTCACCTCTCGGCAGGCGGCTCCCCCAGCAGCACGTCGGGCACGTGGTAGCGGGGCCGCAGCGGGGCCAGCTCCTGGATGCGCAGGCGCGTCACGTTCCCGGTGAGCCCCCACAGCTCCAGCAGCAGCGGCACCTGCGGGGACAGCGGTGGCACCTGGGGCTGGGGATTGTCACCTGGGGCTGGGGACAGCATCACCTGGGGCTGGGGATTGGCACCTGGGGCTGGGGATTGTCACCTGGGGCTGGGGACAGCATCACCTGGGGCTGGGAACTGGCACCTGGGGCTGGGGATTGGCACCTGGGCTGGGAACTGGCACCTGGGGATGGGAATTGTCATCTGGGGCTGGGAACTGGCACCTGGGGATGGGAACTGGCACCTGGGGCTGGGGATTGGCACCTGGGGATGGGAATTGTCACCTGGGGCTGGGAATTGGCACCTGGGGCTGGGAACTGGCACCTGGGGATGGGAATTTGCACCTGGGGATGGGGACATGAGGACAGTGGCACCTGAGGCAGAGGACACAGGGACAGTGGCACCTGGGGGCCCCCACACCTCCCACAGCAGTGACACCTGAACGGCGGGGACAGGGACAAGGCCAGCTAGGCACAGAGACACCTGGGACCCTCCAGTGTCCCCGTGTCCCCTCACCTGGGTGGCCTCGGTGACCACCTGGATCCTGTGAGCCCTGTGACCCCCCAGTGTCCCCGTGTCCCCTCACCTGGGTGGCCTC